TATGGCATCCCGGCAATAACCGAGTTTATGGGTATCGTTTCACCGATATCAAGCAAATGACAAGTATAAATAGCAATGGCGACGCGTTAGAAGGACAATTAGCCTGTCAATTTTTCCATTAGATAACGCCTATTAGATACAACAACGTAACGCATAAATACTGATTGTTTGAAAAAACAAACAAAGAAAGAGAAAAGCAAAAAGAAAGAAAACAGAAGAAAATGTGACAAACAACGGATACTCGTAATCGTAGGATTTGATTCTGCCGTGGATCGAATTATACCGTCATGTGTCATGAAAGCAATTATGAATAGTCGTTGACCGTGCGGCAGTTACATGTTCAGGTCAGCCGCAAAGCCCGACTGTCGATCGGTTGCATCCACAGATAATCTATAATCCTTCAATTGTTACCGCATTACAATAAATAGGAATATTCTACATATTCATATATTTCCCAGCCGCTTCATTTTGCATAAGCGAGTTCGAACATCAGTGTTTCCAAACCTCTTCTGTAAATTCAAACGTTACAATTGTCAACGATGCAATACCAGAGACAATAGTGCCACTCCTTCTCGACGTCTTATCGTTACCGTTGATTACGACTTCCGCCGATTCTCTCGAGCACCAACTTCAAGTTCCTCGATGTCACGTAACGCGAAGTGACAAATTTCAATCATTCGTACGATATGAAAAACCTGTATAATATACAGATACCGTGAATTGATTAAACGTGAACACCTTCAATTAATAGGTGACACGAGAAAGAAGAAAGGAAAAGAAAATAGAATTGGGGCAGTGTCGGTTGATTTTGGAGATGTTCGGTTGTTGGTTGACTCGACTCTCTTTGGTGCTCGCATTCTTAACAGACATCGACCATTAATTCCCGGCAGACGGGAGTAGAAGGGACGTCCATAACTCGGTCGGCCGCTTCAAAAATCAGGAAACACCCTGGACGTACTCCCCCGCGTCCCTCTGATATCATGGATCCCACCAGCGCCGACGACGCTCCCACTCCGGCTCGTCGAAGTCACACGCACACAACGGCACCCGACGCCCACGCCACGACGCGGTAGGCGTGGCCACCTTGTCATTTGTCTCCGCTACTTTTCCCGAGGCGTTAGGGGATCCCGGGGATGGCGGTCTGTTCCTAGCTTGACGTATGTACTGCCGCTACAGCCTCCCCCGCTTCTCGTATCGTCGTGCTCCTGTTCGTTTTCTGCGTGGCGTCTTCCTACACCGGCGGCCAGCTCCATCGCCGGCTGGTCTTCCCTTTTCTCCCCGGTGGATCCTCTCTCCATTTCGAATCTCGTCTCTTCGGGGCTTTCCCTCTTTTTCGACCACCGAATCATCCGCTTTGTCATTCGCCGCGTTTATCTTTCTTCTCATATGCCCTTCGCGATCTTCTCTACTCGTTGCGATCGTCTCTCCTCGCTGCGATCGTCTCTCCTCGCTGCGATCGTCTCTCCTCGCTGCGATCGTCTCTCCTCGCCAGCAATCGTCTCTCCTTGCTGCTATCGCTTTTTCCTCGTAGCAGTCGTCTCTCCTCGCTCCGATCTTCTTTTCACGCAGCAATCGCCTCTCCTTTCTATAATCGTTTTTTCCTCGCTGCAATCGTCTCTCCTCGCTCCGATCGCTGCGTTTTCTTCTGCCCCCTGTCGATCGCGTTGACTGCGCACGCATCGTTGCTGTTCCGAAACTGTCGCTGAATTTGCTCCGATTACGGTTTTACGGCGTGGTTCACGATGTCGACGATTTGAATCTTTCGACGCTGTTCTCTACGAAGTAGCTCACTTTGAGTGAACTTTTAGTCAGGCTTTAGGGAAGAATTTTGGGAATTTCAAGAACTTCGAATTTGATGGAAATCTTTCACAGCGACGAGAGTATATTATTTCTGATATACCTTATAGAGGAAATAGAATTTTTAATAGAGTGTTTAATTTTCAATAATTTTCAGATTATAAAAAAACAATAGGTAGGATGTTATAACGATACTTTATCTATTCTCTCGTGATTCTTAGGTAGGAATTCCGTTTTAGCAAGATATCGTTTACTTACGTCCCTGTATCAATTGGCATTGATTATGGCAAGCATTAGTACTACGTCGCTACTGCGTGAGTTTAATTAATTTTGCGATTAAGGTTCGAGTTATTTTTATGACTAAGTTAGGCAGCATGGTCACAAGGCGACGTTAAAATATGATAAGACAAATGTAGATAAAACAGTGCTTGGAAATGGCCGAACTGATCGAGGTATTTCACTCTTGGAATTTTTTATAATCTGATTAGAGTCTAGACAATTGCAAAGGCGACGATTGCTATTTTTGATCTTGCGAAGGTATTCCGAGGAAGATAACCGTTCTCCAATCTGTACGAAAGTAGAATCTATTAACACTAGTAATTAATATTATTCCTCTACTTCCTCTTGTAAAACTTTTCACTTAGAAAATTGAAATTCAAATAGAATTTCAACGAATACAAAACTCCAAAAACTGAAAAATGACGAATTTCTGCTTTCGTTCAATACGATCTTTCGCATTGCGGGTAAAAAATCCCTGAAACTTAATGCTCCTCTTTTCGTATAAAATAATTATGTATTTAACCAAACGTACGATACACCTCTCTGCAATGTTCGAAACTCAAAGAGACAGTCTAAGTCTATGAAGATAGATATTTGCTTCGATAGATAAGCAAGCGATACTCGAATAACGGTATCTCCACGAAGATTTTCTACTTTATATCTGAATTTTACAACACGCGAAGAAGTAAAAATGGCGGAAGCGGCGTACCGAAAACTCCAACAACTTCCAGTACACACTCTCGTCATTTATCAAACATTTGTTCGATTCGTCGAAATTGCTCGATCCTAACGAAGGAATCGAGTTTACTTAAACGGTAAACGTAAGTGAAGACACGTCCCCGCGTGCATATCATAGAGAAAGGGAACGGAGAAGAGCCGCGCGGAGGAGAGCGTTGTTAGAAATTAAAGCTACGCATGACGATCCAAGGCGACAAACGTCAACGGGAAGAAACAAATGATAATCAGAAGGTACGCGAGGCTTGTGTAGCTAGGGCGAAGAGAAGAAGAGGTGAAAAAGGGAAGCGCAGGGGATGCGTGGTATGCGTGCGATCGAGGAAGAGCCGAGAGATCCGGTGTGTGTGCACGTAGGAGGGGCAACGTGGAGAACGTTGGTGGGGCGTCGTTGACGAAGTGGGGGTAGATGAAGAGAGGTGCGTCGACGATACCAACATAGGCGAACCGGTGACTGTTTCGAACAGGACGGGACGGAAAAGAGACACACAGGCGTGAGAGATCGCGGCAGCGACGAAGCGAGATAGAACGCGGCGTGATACCGAGTAGGGATAGCGTGTGCAAGAGAGAAAGGCGACGTCGCCGTCCAATCGAGGGGTATGCCGGGGACGAGGCGGCAGATACACAGGCGTGAGAGATCGTGTAATAGGGACGAGAGAGCGAGAGGAAGAGACTGAAAATACGAAAGGGAGACGAAGGTGCAGCGGTGGGTGAGCAAGCGAGAAAGAACGAAAACGTGGGATCGAAGGTGGGGAGTGATAACACGAGGGAGAAGGACGGAGTGCACAGCAACCAGAGGGATGAAACGGGGCATAGAGACGCGAGAGATCGTAGTAGTGGAAGTGAGATGAACACATCGAGGGAGATAACAAAAGCAGAGTGGGAGAGCTGAAGTGAGAAGGAGCGGATGGAGGGGAGTAAGAGCAAGCGAGCCAGGGCGAGGCGCAGTCAGACAGTCAGGCAAGCCGCTCGGCAAGCAAGGAAGGCAGGCAGGCAGGCAGGCTAGCAGGCAGCCAGTGCACCAGCCAAGACCACTAGATCCGCTCGGCTTACCGACTTAGAGACTTAAGCCGGCAGGCAGTCCGAAAGGCTCAACCGGCTAAGCCTGGCGGACCCACCTACTACCGACGCGCGGCCACTACACATTCCATCTACTACGAAAACCGGCTATACTACCGCGACCTGCAGCACCACTCGCGCTTTCTTACGCTTCCTCTTGTCTCTGTCCTTCTCACTCTTTCTCTCACGCTGTCTGTCTGTCGTACCTTAACGCGTGCCCGTTAAGGTGAGAAGAGCGCGAGGCCAGAAAGACGAGAGTGTAGCGGCGACGTCGCGCCACGTCCAACTTCGACGTTCTGGACGAGGATCGTCGTGATGCCGCGACGCGGCCCTCGTGCTGACTTTTCACCAAGCCGCTACACTACACCGTCGCTGTGAGCCGCTGGTGGAAAAACCGCGTGGCTGGAAAAAAATCCCTGGTGTTTTTCTCTTACCGGTGGACACGTGAACGATCGCGAATCCAGTGACATATACGTGTTTACGGGGGTGTCTGCTGTTCCCGCGATACAACTCAGTGGTGATCGGTATCCAAGCCTGGATCTATATTGTGATCGGTTCGAACACGCGGCTGG